GATACACAAGAACAGAAAGACTACGCTCGTACCAGAAAATATATTGTGTAACATTACGGTTGATGAGCACCCAAGCTACGCGAAACTCGGTGTAAAGGAGGACCACTCCTGGGCCACACAAGAATCAAGGATAATAGAACTTAGTCCAACAAAAAACACCAGAGAAAACATCACGTACCGCTGTATCTATAATTCCAATATGCTTGCCAGAAGAGCACTAACTATAGAATCACATATATACTCTGAAGGCGAATCATTATTCATAGTAGTCAAATCAAGTCGTCAAACGAGTCTACGCAGGGGCACGACAATTGCCTTTTTAGAGGAAGATCAGGAGACCATAGAGAAACCGTGCAACATTTTAAATATTGAAAAAGAAGAGGCATTTAACATCTTAAAAAATAAACTAACGACAGCTCCACTACTAAGACACTTCAACCCCGACATAGGATGCACCCTTCAGACCGATGCTTCAATAAATGGAATAGGAGCAATCCTTTTACAAAAAGATGAGGATAATAATTTACACCCAGTAGCGTATGTAAGTAGAAGTCTGTCAAAGGCGGAACAGAACTATGCCATAACAGAGCTAGAACTTTTAGCAGCAGTTTGGAGCTTGGGATATCTTAGACACCTAGTATATGGACGACCGATAGAAATTGTAACTGACCATCACGCATTGTGCTGGTTAGACTCAATAAAAGAAAATAATAGGAGACTAGCGAGATGGGCAATAAAACTATCAGAATTTGATTACAAAGTAACTTATAAAAAGGGTAGCACACACAACGACGCGGACTGTCTATCTAGGAATCCAGTACTAAAAGCGTTATCACCGTCAGAGGAGAGGGAAATGAACGAAATCCCCACTTTCGCCACAGCCAGCAAAAAAGACGACCCAGAGGAAGAGATAAGAACATTGGCAATAGGGAGTACAAAAATAAGTAATTTACAAAAATCAGATAAAGAGGTAGAAGAACTTAGAAGAGCAGTAGAAAATCCGGATGACACGAATATCCCAATAGCGACAAGAAGAAGAGCAAAAAATTTTAAGATAATAAACGACACTTTATACAAAACAGGCAATACAAACAAAGGATTGGGAAACTTACTAGTAATCCCGAAAAATGTAATAGGAGAAATATTGTGGGAGATGCACGCGGCTCCAACATCAGGACATCTAGGATTAACAAAAACAATCGAGAAATGTAGCAAAAGATATTACTGGGTAGGGATGTTAAAAGATATAGAAAAGTATATTAAGGGATGCATTGACTGCCAAGCAAGGAAGGGACAACCCTATAGGAAAGTTCCAGGGTCGTTGCAACCAATAAAGGTTGGATGCGTAATGGACAAAGTAGGGATAGACCTTCTTGGTCCCTTTAGGAGAAGCAACAATGGCAAAACTATGATAATAGTTGCTACGGATTATGCATCACGGTATGCAATCACAGCGGCGCTGCCAAATGGAAAGGCAGGCCCCGTAGCGAAGTTCATATTGGAGAAAATTATTTTGATACACGGAGCCCCTAGGACATTACTAAGTGATAGAGGGAAGGTTTTCCAATCAGAAATGGTGAAGGAACTCGCTCGGATCATGGGAATAAGAAATCAATTTACTACGGCATACCACCCACAGTGTAACGGCTTAACTGAACGTCTAAACAAAACAATGGCCGACATGCTGGCGGTATATTGCAATACAGAGCAAACGGATTGGTGTAGCTACGTACCATTTGTCACATTTGCTTATAACACAGCGATCCAAGACAGCACAAAGCTAAGCCCATTTATGGTGACCTTCGCCAGGGAACCGACTTTACCATCGGAGGCAATGCTGCTATAAGGAATACAGCAGCGGAAAATATACATAAAAGACAAAGCAAAGACAAAGTGAGATTTGATAGCAAACACAGGGAACTAGAATTTGATATAGGTGACAAAGTTAAGATTTTTATCCCAGTTAGAAAAATAGGCCGAAGTGAAAAACTATTATTAAGATGGTTTGGACCGTATAAAATTTTAAGAAGATTAGGTGATGTAGATTACGAAGTAGAAAAAATTGGAGGGAAGAAAAAAGACACTGTTCATGTAAATAGGATACTACCCTTTTACGACCCGTGGACCGCAGAGTCCCCAATTTTGGACGAGCTACTAGAAGAATCAGAGGAATCTCACACAAGTGACGTCGAAAACAAGGAACACGAATAATAGTCATTAATTTGTACAAAATAGCCGCGCGAATAGAGTCCGGACTCACCCCCTTAGACACTTATACCAGTAGTATTTAGCACATAGGTTATAAGAATTAATTTAAAGCAAATTAGTCTAGCAGCATAGAACATAATAATTCTTCAAAAAATCATGATATGGCGACGGCTGAGGAGGAACCGTTGACGAACGTGAAATCTGAAGCCTAAGTCGCAAACACGGAGATAATAATCTGTAATATAAAAGTATAATTCTAGTTATTTTATAATAAGTTAGGGGAATCTGGGGAAATAATAGAATAATATAGGTATAAAAATCTTAAATATTAATAATAAATTACCACGGGCCTGTGGATAGAAACTAAGATGCTAATATTAAATTGTACAAAATATGGTTTTCGTATTTTAAAACAAAAAGGGAATGGATTCAGACGAGAGTGCATAAACCATATTTTATTATTATTTTAGTTTAAAGTGTAGGAAAATAAACGAAAACCATTATTATTAAGGAGTTACCAAAAGTAAAATAAATCACAAATAATCAAAAATATATGTATATTAAAGATCTTCTTAATCTAATAACAAACGTGACAAACACAATATGTCGGGCCAGGGTCTGTATATGGAGAACACGATGTCCAGGAGGACAAGGAGGAGGCCACACGTCCACGGAGGAAACCCTAATCCAAGCAAATTCGAACCTAAGTCCCTGAAAGACACACAGGAGGAATATCAAGACATAAAGGGGAAAAAATATAATAAAACCTACCTTGGATTCGGGAACCCTGCGATGCAGTAACCGCAAAATCCTCTTTCTCATAGACTTGTCTAGAGGAATGGGAGAAGAAAAAATAAAGAAAAAAAAATATAATAATAATAATACAAAGACGAACGAAACTTAGACTCAACATTCATGTTCAAAGCAAACAACAAATTGACGACCTACTTACGCATAAATCAATAATTGTCGCAAAAAACGCTTACAAGACTTATATTTTGCAGCAAATCGATAGGCAACAACAGAAAAAATCAACCATGGGCGGAACAAGGATCAAGGGACCACAAACATCAGATAACAGTCCGCAAACCACCACGTCTGCCAGCAAACAAGTGCTACGGCCGACAAAACCACTACAAATGTCCACAACCAAGGTGAACAGTCCGCAAACCACCACGTCTGCCAGCAAACAAGTGCTACAGCCGACAAAACCACTACAACTGTTTACAATCAAGGTGAACAGTCCGCAAGCCAACACGTCTGCCAGCAAACAACTGCTACAGCCGACAAAACCACTACAACTGTCCACAACCAAGGTGAACAGTCCGCAAACCACCACGTCTGCCAGCAAACAACTGCTACAGCCGACAAAACCATTACAAGTTTCCACGACTAAGGCGAACAATCCGCAAGTGAAACAGCCGACAAAAGCACCTCGACAGTCGACGAAGCACTATCCACGCAGAAGTAGGCACAAAACCATACCAAGCACACACGTGAAGTCTAGCACATTTTCCAGAACAATACCCTACATGAAGTACATGGAACATAAGAAGATAGTACAGCCATAACAGACCACCCAGACGAAGACAACGATCCGAACGAAATAGAAGCTCTAATTTTAAGTTTTTGAATTATTGTAAACCCGTATGATGTTCTTCCGCTGGCATTGGGGACCAATGCTTTCATGGGAGGGGCAAATGTCAACTCATAAACGTACACAAGCCCACGCATTACATAAATTAAGTAAATTTCCAAAGGAGGTCACCCCGGACTATTGAAAACAGATCGATTTTGCTTATGCCAGCAATAATTTCAATATAAATTCACGCACTGCGAGGCAAGGTTGGTCTGGACTGCTTTATGCCTGATTAGGTACGAGCCTAAAGACCTGCCTTCTTAGCTGAGTACGACTAGGTATAGTCGAGACTGTGAAACTTTGTGGATGAAGGTCTCGTCTATAGCAGCCGTGTCACAGCGACCCCAAGTTTAGACCTACAAGAACTATGCTCTTAGGGGGCCCGTTCTTTTGGTGCATCTTGGGATACATTAAACATTCTTACATTTCGAGTTGACAATCGAAAACATGATCCACCAGGGACGAACATCTGCGGTGTTAGGATTTTGGTAAATCTCCTTGAACTATAAGGTGTAATTAAGGTTTTGTAATTAAACAAATTAAATGTTCGTGGTGGTATTCCTTCCCCCCATATCCTCTCTTTTCAGGTAAACCCTTAGTGGACGCAGCCAAGCGAAGTAAAAGTGTTGGCACCGCTGACCACAACCAACCTAAGCGTGACAACATAAACTGAACCGGATGTTGATATGATGCTTAGAAAGTGATTTCAATAATTGTTTTTCTTACTCTGTAAACTAAAACTTGGCAAATATTTTAAGCCATAAGGAATTGGAACAATCAAGACATACGAAAATATATACATATAGAAACCCACAGCACATTAGTTATTCAAGATCTATATGCGGAGATAAGAAAAAGGGAATATAATATTATAATAATATTTTTGTACTTTATATTATGATGGATAGCAAGTAACAGATTCCTGAAAGCAAAAAAAAAAACCTTTAGAGTCCTATCATATCAGCTGAAGGAAATTTGATCTTTCTTATCAGCTATTTATTTCCTGTAGGACTTGCAAATTTATTTATCTCTTAAAATGAGTCAGTGGTGGATAAAATTGCATTTTTCTTGTGATTTGATATTGCTATTGAATTTCAGCATTGTATTCCGATTTGCTGACATATATGTGACTTATTTCATTTTACAATCTTACCTGTCCAACAGTTGTCTGTCCCAAAGCAGTCTTACTTAATTTAAGCGATTTCCTATAGATAAGAGAGCAGCATGCCACCCTCAGCTTCATTCCCAAATGAAGCACCCCCATCATATAAGGGTGGCTGATTAGGATGTTACTCAACGAACAAAGAACCACCCCAGCGGCGTACCAGTAGGCTTGTTCTTGGGTGATTTTTTGCTCGGTGGGCATGTAGAATTGAAGTAGTTGGCCTAGAAATATTGGCTGTGCCATTCTGGAAGAAGGAAAATTATAAATGAGTTTCTGGGTTTATAATAAAATTCTGTGTTTATTATAGTCATTACTAATGGCTGTTAATTATGTCTGTTATCAGGAAAAAGAAATATTCCATCATAACTGTGACACATTTTAATAGGCGAAACGCTAATTATTAAATAAATTACCCATAAAGATAAAAACATAACTGATTTTTTGTTGGTTACATGCTTAATAATTGATTTTTATTGAAACAAAGGATCATTGATTGATTAAACATTGTTAGATATTTAAATGGTTTATATTTAACCGCGCATTATTGATTCTGACTACTGAGCTTTAACTGCTTTCAATTTAAACTGAAATTATTGTAATTTAAATAATTAATGACGAGTCATTTCGAAAAAACTAAAAAGTATCAAACGATTATGCTCTGCCATTATTACCTAATAATTGAAATAATTGGCAAACTAATTTGATAAAAATAAAATTGATAACAGGAGAGAGACCATAAATTATGAATAAATATATAAATAGTAAAATTGTATGAATATTAATTTTTTAAAGACACTTATTTTTAAAAAAAATAGAGAAGAATTACCTAATTTCCTGATTTTTCATTCAACAATAATCTTATGGAAGCTAGATTTTTCTATACTTATCTACAAGAAATAAGAAATAGGTGAAATAAGAGCTTGTTAAGATGGTTAATTATTTGATAAAACCTTAAAACCAATGTCCAATAATATTATTCAAAGAAATCTCTACAAAAGTGTTAGTCACAATTCTAATCAATCTACACACACATATTTACGGTTGTCGTTGTTCCAATGTTAAATTATTAACATTTCCCTGTTGCCGATTAGTATCGGGTGGTGCGAAATAACTTACGAGATTTCCCAAAAATATCGGCTGATTTATTCTAATAGAAAAATTCGTATACTTAGTCCACAACCAATAAATCTGTAATGAATACCTTATGACTTCCGAGATAAACAAAACCAATCCGTAGAACATAAATTCCCATCCAAAGGATCTTACTAGGACTCTGCCTAGAGATGGTTTCCTGTTCTTTTTTGCAGCTCGGGTTTCTTCATCTTTCCAATATTTTTCGATTTCGTTTCCCAATCGGGCCGATTTGTGCTCTGTGAGGGTTTCTGTAAGGTCTGATTCTTCTAGGTCACGCTTGAAACCCTGAAAGAAGGTTGGCAAAGTGTACCTAAAAAAGAAGGTATTATTTAATAGACTTTTAAAATAAAGATTTTTTTTTTTATGAATACAAGAATGGATATACACTAGGTGATACTTTGAAAACTCCCCACCCTCAATATATCTGAGACCAAAATATTTTTTTTCTAAAAAACGCAAAAACGAGTGAACAAATTTTGTGGGGTGGACATATTTTGACGTTACTCTCATGATCATGGGATACATTTCGTGGTCCCACGCCTTCCACTTCAATATGGGTTTTTAATGCTTCAAAGCATATATCAACATGGCCGACCATGATGGTCTTTGAGTTGTCTGAGAGTATTTTTGAGTGGCTCATACCCACAATTAACGTGAGAGTCAGTGTAACTAGTCACTAGCATAGTTTTGTGCTTATGAATTACGTAAAATAACTGTACTTATCAGCTGCGATTGAATTTACTTTGGTGCAAAATCGAAAAAGAAAGAACCGTAAAAGCAACCAAAGTTTTGTTTTTGGACAGGCAAATTTTTCAGGGGATGAGCATTTTTCAGGCTCAATTCAGAGGGCTTATTTTTATCTCGGTCGCGTTAAAATGGGTGTAACACTTAATTTTATTGAACAGCATGTTAAAAAGCAATGTCCAGATGTTAGGGACCTTAAGGTTGTACCTTTGCCAATTAAAGGGGAAACTATCTCTTTCAAGATAGGCATCCACTCGGATTGCAAGGAAAGTTTTTCACGACCTGATATCTGGCCAAAAGGCGTTGTTTTAAGAAAATTCTGGTGGAGCAATGTACGCAAGTCCGAGAATTTTCGACGGGATCAAATGAATCAGGCCGGTGTATAGCTGGGAATGGTGGTCACACTGATATTCTGATCTATTACAATAATGCTGGTGGTCTTAGAACTAAACTTAGTGAGGTTCGGAAGGATATTGAATGTTGTCTCTATGATGTTATAATGCTTGCGGAATCATGGTTAATGGAACATATATATGATACAGAGCTCTGTCCAGGGCAGTTTGATTTGTTTCGTACTGATCGTTCATCAACTGGGGATCCCAGAACTCGGGGGGGAGGAGTTCTGATTGCTGCCAGGAAGGATTTGCAATGCCAAAGACTAAACATTGATGTTATGACTGTTGAACAGGTTTATGTATATTTTAAAATTAAGTCATCTGAATTTGTATTGGGCTGTATCTACCTGCCACCTAGGTCTGATGTAGGCTTGTTTGTTGATGTTTGTCAATCAATCGAATCAATTTTTAATTTATATCCTAAATGTAACTTATTGCTGGCTGGCGATTTTAATTTACCACAGGTTAAATGGGTTAATAATGAGTTTGGTCCAACCAGTGAGTGTGCGGGCAATTATCCAGCTAATGATTTAATAGAGTGTCTAAATTATTAAAATTTTCGTCAGATAAACACCATCACGAATAGCAGGAATGCTTTGCTTGACTTGGTGTTTTCAAACTTGGGTACTGTTGAGATTGACAGAGCCACCGATATGATTTTGAGTAATAGTGTTCACCATACTGCTATATCTATGGGATTCAGCCATAATGTAGAATGCAAACGTTCTAAATATGAGGAGTGCTTCTTTGATTTTAAAAGTGGCAATTACATTTCATTGAATGAATATTTGGCTAGTGTGAATTGGTGTTTGATGAATGATTTGACCCTTGAGCAGGCTGTTCTATGGTTTTATGAAACATTGTGGGAGGGGATAACTTTATATGTTCCAGTAAAGAAATTCCGAACTTCGAACTTTCCTTTGTGGTTCAACACTGAGCTGCGTAGATTGATTGTGAAGTGAGGGATAGGTGCAAGGATTTAAGGGACTCCTCTTATAGAATGTACCTGCTCAAAACTGAGAATAACATCAATAGGAATCCTAGATCATTTTGGTCACATTTCAACAATCTCAAAAATAACTTTGTCCTTCCCTGTAACATGAGTTATAATGGCTCTACTGGCTGTAGTAATCAAGAAACCGTAGACTTGTTTGCAGACTTCTTTTCAAGTGTGTACTCGAGCCGCACCACTAACCAGGCTCCAGAATACTCATTCTCCAACGTCACTGATGTTTCTGCATACTCTGTTTCTTGTGCTGATATAATAGAACAAGTAAGAAATTCACCTGATAAGTTGTCATGTGGGCCGGATGGAATTCCCTTGCTCTTTATAAAGAAATGCCTGTATACCCTTGCGACGCCCCTGGCAAGTCTCTTCAACCATTCATTGTCAACAGGTTCTTACCCAGTTTTGTGGAAGTTCAGCTTTCTGAAACCAATATTTAAAAGTGGGTCAAGAGAAGAAGTAACGAATTACAGGGCTGTTTGCACGCAGTCTGAGATTCCTAAGTTGCTAGATTGTCTCATTACCAGGAAACTTAGCTGGGACTGCAGGTACCTTTTAAATCCGGAACAGCATGGGTAGGTCAACATCAACAAATTTGGTTTTGTATCAGAATTTTATTTTGAACAGCATGGAGAGGGGATTCCAAGTTGATTCTGTATACTCGGACTTCTCTAAAGCCTTTGACAGGGTTAACCATCGCCTGCTCGTTAGGAAGCTTGGTTGTTTGGGGCTGAGAGGTTCAATTCTGAGTTGGTTTGATGACTTTCTTGTTGGGAGAACACAGGCAGTAAGGTATAGCGGTGTTGTGTCTCGGGTCTTTGATGTTCCTTCTGGAGTTCCTCAGGGGTCTCACTGTGGACCAGTCTTGTTCAATCTGTTCATATCTGATGTGGGTAGTTCTGTTGCCCACAGCTCATTTTTATCATTTGCAGATGAACTTAAACTTTATCGTCAGGTATCATCATTGGAAGACTCACAACTGCTGCAATATGATATCAATTATTTTAATAAATGGTGTGGCTTGAACGAAATGGACCTCAATATTGCCAAATGTTATAAGATAACTTTTTCCAGGTTGGCCCAGTCGGTGAATTTCCCTTACACAATTAATAACACATCAATCAGGGAAGTAGCGAGCATTCGAGATTTGGGTGTGGAATTTGATTCCAAGATGTCATTTAATGGCCATGTTACCAATACTGTATCAAGGGCTGTTAGATGTTTCGGCTTTATATGTAGGTCCACTACTGATATGTCAGTGAGTACATTGCGAACATTGTACTGTGCGATGGTCCGATCCTTGTTGGAATACTCATCAGTTGTTTGGTCACCCCAATATGCTGTTCACATTGCAGCTCTGGAAAGGGTTCAGAATAGATTTCTAAGGGTGGCTGCTTACAGGTTGGGCTTGGCTCATGATGAGTATACTTATGATGAGATGAGGGCTATCTTGAATGTTCATACCTTGAAAAGCAGGAGACTTCAGGCGGATCTTTCCTTTCTTTACAGACTTTTGAGAGGGTTAATTGACTGCCCGGATCTTTTGGGTCTCATTTCTTTGAGAGCAGGAGAAAGAAGGGTGAGAGGTTCTGACCTGTTTTATGTACCATTCCATAATACTAATTATGGTATGAATGAGTCGATCTCAAGGGTGCTCAGGTTTGCCAACTCCAGGAGCCAGAGTATTGACATCTTTGGTTGTCCTTCTGTTGCTGCCTTTAAGAGGAGATTGCAACCGCTGCTTGCTGGTTAGTTTTTTAAAAATGAGTCGTATGTTTTTTGGTTAGGTATTAACTTGGGGAAGAACAGGATGTGATTGTTAGTGCTTAGATTTAGTTATTGTCAAACTATTTATTGTAAATTGTTTTACGATTGTTTTTGTAAATTGGCCTTGCCGTTAATAAATAAATAAATAAATATTCGTGTAAAAAAAAATGAAATCTGTCTATTCGTTTTCGAGATATTGATTAAAAACCCTAGTTTGTTATTAAACTACCTATACTTTAGAATTAAACTGACACCTATTTGAACCAAAAAATTAATTTTTTGATATAATGTCAGGAGGAAAATTTAAAATCTGTTTTAACCCCCTAGAAGGGGCAGATGTCACCCTAGTCTTGAATAATGATAAGGGAGTCAAAAGGCACGTTTCTTTGAATTGCGTTTTATTCTCTCTCAGATCTTGTATGCACTGAAATCTATGGTTTTCAAGTTAATATTGTTGGATGAACTGATATTCATATCAGTGAACCAAAAATTAATAAATTAAACTTGGATTATAAGCCAATTATATTTTCGATTCAGAAACTTGTATTTTAAAAAACATTTATTTTATTGATTAAAATACAGAGGTGACAAAAGAAAATATTCGGCTCAAATTGCTACAGGCTAAAGCCAGAAAACAAATGAACATTCCTTGGGACTGCGTTGGCTTAAATAAGAATTTAATGCCGATACAGCAATTTGATGTTTACTTTACAACAATGTATTTAAAAAGTCATAGAGGAAAGGGGTAAGTACATTAAAGCATATAAAAAATAGATTCATGATTATAAATCAGCGTGGCAATTGGTTAATATAACTCCTCCTTTTTAAAGATGTTGCAAACGTGGATTGTTGTGAATTCAAATCAGACAATTCAATTTGCACATTTGCACAACCTTTCTTTGAAGTTTTAAACTTCCTAAAACAGTAAAACAATAAAATTAAAAATAAAATAGCAAGACTTAAACCTATGATTACATATGAGTTTAAATAAGAGTGTTCAAAAGACAATTCTTTTAGATTGTGAACTCTTATCTGTTTCGTCGTCTTGAAGGCTTCTTCTAAGTCTTCTTGGTTGATTTCTTGAAGTACCAATGTTGTTTCATTCTCTAGAAGTTCAGGGATGTCTATTTTTGTAATCTTCAGTTCAAAATTGAAGTTCTCGCTGGTTTTTTAAAATGTTTGATTTTGTATTTTCACAAAGCATTTTTCAAAAGAAACCAGCGTTGAATTGGTTATTATTTCCATATCGTTTGTCTTGTCACATTGAATAATTATCGTCAGACTTTTCTTAGGGATGATTAATAGTTGTCCATTCGGGAGTTGTCTCACTGTTGGTTTTTCATATTTCACTTTAGTGAAAGGACATTGTTGTGGTAGGTCAGTAATCAGGTCATAGACACATGATGCTTCTTGCTTCAGCTCTTCTTGGTTACAAAGGTACACACTTTCGACTTTCGGGCATTCCCATAAAGTATTGTAGTAAATGTCCGTAGTAAGTAATAGGTAAGGGTACTTATTCAATGGTAAGTTCTTGGATAGGAATTGGATAGATTTTATACAATATAAAGGGCTTGGGATCAATCATTGGTGTGTGTATAACAAATATAATTAACTCATTTTGGATTTTTACTTGAGTATTCATTGTCTCGTAATACTTGATTTTATTATCAAAAGGTATTTGCTGACTTTTGGATATGTTTGTTAATATTTGATTTAATTCATTATGCTGTAAAATAGTATAATCCATTATTCCCAATTGTGTAAAATTTTT